TAAGAGTCTCTTATGGTTTGTCTACCTCCTGATCCCATCTTGTTTCATTTATTCCTTCCCTACCCCCCAAGCCCCCAATTCTGTCTCTCAAATTCCTCATATCAGGGAGATCATATGATAATTATCTTTCTCTGATTGACTTAGTTCCATCCACGTCATTGCAAATGGCAAGATTTCATTTCTTGTGATGGCTGCATAGTATTCCATTATATATATACACGACATCTTTATCCATTCCTCTGTTGATAGACATCTAGGTTCTTTCCATAGTTTGGCTATTGTGGACATTGCTGCTATAAACATTCAAGTGCAGGTGCCCCTTCAGATCACTACATTTGTATCTTTAGAGTAAAACCCAGTAGTGTGATTGCTGGGTCATAGGGTAACTCTATTTTCAACTTTTTGAGGAACCTCCATGCTGTTTCCCAGAGTGGCTGCACCAGCTTGCATTCCCACTAACAGCGTAGGGGGGGTTCCCCTGTCTCCACATCCTCTCCAACATCTGTCATCTCCTGACTTGTCAATTTTAGCCATTCTGACTGGTGTGAGGTGGTATCTCATTGTGGTTTTGATTTGTATTTCCCTGATGCCGAGTGATGTGGAGCACTTTTTCATGTGTCTGTTGGCCATCTGGATGTCTTCTTTGCAGAAATATCTGTCCATGTCTTCTGCCCATTTCTTGATTGGATTCTTTGTTCTTTGGGTGTTGAGTTTGATAAGTTCTTCATAGATTTTGGATACTAGCCCTTTATCTGATATGTCATTTGTGAATATCTTCTCCCATTCTGTCAGTTGTCTTTTGGTTTTGTTGACTGTTTCCTTTGCTGCACAAAAGCTTTTGATCTTGATGAAGTCCCAATAGTTCATTCTTGCTCTTGCTTCCCTTGCCTTTGCCGATGTTTCTAGGAAGAAGTTGCTGTGGCTGAGGTCGAAGAGGTTGCTGCCTGTGTTCTCCTCAAGGATTTGGATGGATTCCTTTTTCACATTGAGGTCCTTCATCCATTTTGAGTCTATTTTCATGTGTGGTGTAAGGAAATGGCCCAGCTTCATCTTCTGCATGTGGCTGTCCAATTTTCCCGATACCATTTGTTGAAGAGACTGTCTTTTTTCTATTGGACATTCTTTCCTGCTTTGTCAAAGGTTAGTTGACCAGAGTTGAGGGTCTATTCCTGGGCTTTCTATTCTGTTCCATTGATCTATGTGTCTGTTTTTGTGCCAGTACCATACTGTCTTGATGACTGCAGCTTTGTAATAGAGCTTGAAGTCTGGAATTGTGATGCCACCAACTTTGGCTTTCTTTTTCAATATTCCTCTGGCTATTCAGGTTTCTGGTTCCATATAAATTTTAGGATTATTCGTTCCATTTCTTTGGAAAAAATTGATGGTGTTTTAATAGGGATTGCCTTAAAATGTGTAGATTGCTGTATGTAGCATAGACATTTTCACAATATTTGTTCTTCCAATCCATGAGCATGGAACGTTTTTCCATTTCTTTGTGTCTTTCTCAATTTCTTTCATGAGTATTCTGTAGTTTTTCTGAGTATAGATTCTTTGCCTCTTTGGTTAGGTTTATTCGTAGGTATCTTAGGTTTATTCCTAGGCAGTTGTAAATGGCTCCTTAATTTCTCTTTCTTCTGTCTTGCTGTTGGTGTATAAAAATGCAACTGATTTCTGTGCATTAATTTTATATCCTGACACTTTACTGAATTCCCATGTGAGTTCTAGCAGTTTTGGAGTGGAGTCTTTTGGGTTTTCCACATAAAGTACCATATCATCTGCAAAGAGTGAGTTTGAATTCTTCTTTGCCAATATGGAAGCCTTTTATTGGAGGCATTTACTTTTAAATACATTTCATAACCAGATGGACTGTGATGGCTAGGTTCAGGCAATAATATGATTGGTCAGTTTTGAGCACATGTCCACATTTGTGCTTGTGTTTGAGTCTTGTTCTATGACCCAAGAGGCAGCAAAGAAGTGTATTCAATGCCAATGATAACACTAACATTAGGTCCCCAAATGGTTTTGATTAAAGGGCTACATATTGGCGTAAGAGGAATTTAAGGGGATAACATTTGTACATATACAATTTGCTATATTAATAATATAATAAATAGATGTTAATATTTTATGCAGTATGCATTTATATCTTCTTAGAGATCTAGATAACTCATTTGTTCAAATAAAAACTTGTATATTGTTTTGCTAGGGCTGCTGTAACAAAATACCCAGGCTGAGTGGCTTAAACAACAGAAATTTCTCACAGTTTTGGAGGCTGGACACCTGAAATCAGCATGTTGTCAGGATTAGTTCCATCTGAAGGCTATGGAGGAAGATTTGTTCCAGACCACTCTCCTTGCGTTGCAGATAGCCATCTTCATATTCACATGGAATTCTCCCTGTACACATACATGTTTGTGTCCAAATTTCTCCTTTGTGTAACACCAGTTATGCTGGATAAAATTTCACCCAAATGACTCATTCTAACTTGATTACTTCTGTAAAGACTTGATTTCCAAATAAGGTGTATTTTGGGGTGCTGGGGGTTTAGGACTTCAACATATGAATTTTTGAGGGACACAACTTGACCCATAACAACTAGAATAGGTCTCACTGAAACTTTAGCTGTAGATTCATAAAGTTCCTATCTCTTTTGAATAATCCACTCTTCTTTCACCTTTTCTATGTTAGTAGAAAACGTACTATCCTTTTTAAATGTGACTTCCTTCCTTGAGTTGTGTATTTTCAGAATCCCACAACTTATTCAATCCAGAGGGGCTGCCTGAGAATATTCAGAGCAAGAAACTTAATGAATTTAATCAGTCTAGTAATGGCCTTTCTCTCCAGCTGCCATTTCTTCTGTCACGGGCTCTCAGTGCTGCTATTGTAAGGTGTCGCAGATAGCCAGGATATTCTCATTGTCCACTATTCCAGTGGCTGGTCACGCAGGACATTCTAAGGTTATAGGAAAGGAAGAGAGAAAGGATTTTTCCTAAGTATGATGTTTGCCCATAGTAGCCATATAGACAGATTGGGCTGTCAAGATGACTGCCCCTGAACAAGCCATGGATGTAGATCCCCTCACAATCTGTGGTAACGCTGAGTTGGAGAACAGCCAGAAGCCTCTGCATTGGGTCTCCAGGATTACTGTTTTTATTTAGCTTTATATACTGAGTGACTATTCCCAGAGCACTGCTGCTGTATTAGAGCAATTGGGGGAGCAAAAAGAGGAGGGTGGAAGGTTTTGGTCCTTTCCACACAGTTTTTCTTTTGTGATACTACCTTTTTCCACAGTCATTCAGTCCTGGAAGCGAGCCTGATTCACTCATCCTGACTATTCCAAGTGAGTATCCCTGGGATGACCTTGATATTCTTTCTGCCAACATTCCTCACCTGGTTGACTTCAAGCCATGGGATCAGAGAGATTTTAATAAAATTGAGCTGCAAAAGGACAGGGGTTCAATATAGGCTCTAGCCTACATCTCTCTCTTTGAGGCTCTTTGCTTCTATGCAGATATATTAACTGCCTTAGTAATAATATAAAATGGATAGATGTTATCAATTAATGACAACTCTCCTATAATGGTTCAGTCCACTTTTTTGCTGGAGTGGCAAGGGCCCCCTTTCCTTTTGTGACCTTAGCTGGAGGGAACAACAATGACATCAGAAATTTCCACTCCTTCAAAACAATATTTTTAAATGTTAAAAAATGATGACTCTTGCATAAATATATGTCAAATACATTTCAAAAATTGGATTATTTAAAGAAAATAGCAAGTTGGTAAAACTGGTTAAAAAAACATTTATTTGTTGTATCTTAAGAAACAGAGATCAGACTGGTGTTTGCCAGAAATGGGAAGCGGGGGGTGGGCAAAATGGATGAAGGCAAAGGGAAAGTACAAATTTCCAGTTATAAGATTAAAAAGTCTTGGGGATGTAATATACAGCATAGTAACTGTAGTTAATAATATTGCATATTTGAAAGTTGCTAAAAGAGTACATCTTAAAAATTCTCATCATAAAAATTGGCAACTATGTATGGTGATGGATGTTAACAAGATTCGTTGTGATGATCATTTGCAATAAATACAAATATTGAATCATGCTATATATCTGAAACTAATATAATGTTATATGCCAATTATAGTTTTAAAAAAGAGAGATTCATACAATGGAATTCTATACAGCAATAAGAATAAACAAACTATGATTATACACACCAACTTGGATGAGTCTCCCAAATTTAATGTTGAATTTTTAAACAAGTCAGAAAAGAAAGAGCACATACTGTATGATTATTATAATCAAATACAGTATATATATATATGATGATGATATATATGACATAGGTAAGTTTTGCATTGCATATATACATAAAATGCAATGCACTATAATTATATATGTATCCACATATATATATGCATATATATATATATATGCAAAACTAATCTATGTGATTGGAAGTCAGATAGTGGTTATGCTTCTATGGCTCAGCTGTAATTGTAGGGGCTTCTAGACTGGAGCCATAGTCTGCACCCTGACTTGAGTGCTGGTTACCCTGGGTAGGGTTCAGTTTGTGAAAATTCATTGAGCTGACACTTATACATAATTCTCCTCCCCCTACAGACAAAGAACTTGTGTAGAACATATTTATCTATTCAGCTAGAAGAGAAATGTGCAAATATATTTGCTGTATTAGACACAAAAGTGGCTAATACCTTCCATGTCATTAAAACTATAACCTTTGGATTTATCTTTTCTCCTGGATAAGAATTATTTTAATTTTTTTCTAGACCAAAAAAATATTTGTAATTTAGCAATTTTCTAAAAGTTTAAAAAAGTTTACAACTATACAGAATCTATGAATAGGGCCCTAATCACTAGTAAATCCTAAGTCAAATATACATTCACGAAGGAAATAAAATACTCCTGGGTTTTGTGGTTAATTTAACAAACTTATTTCTGCATTCATTTTCTTACTAACTATATAAGTCTTTATTTCTAAAATAGTCTTTGAAATTTAGGATGGGCCTGTTTTATGTTCCTTAATATGACACTGAAAAATCTAAAATATATTTTTATGTTATTTCTGCATTTTGGATTTTATCTTACTCCCTTTAAAGTTATATGTTGCATAAACAATAGCTTTAGGAAGGAAATCTGTCTTTAAAATGGAAAATTCTTGGGGCACCTTGGTGGCTCAGTGGGTTAAGCCTCTGCCTTCAGCTCAGGTTATGATCTCAGCGTCCTGGGATCCAGCCCTGCATCAGGCTTTCTGCTCAGCGGGGAGCCTGCTTCCCTGCCTCTCTGCCTACTTGTAATCTCTCTGTCAAATAAATAAATAAAATC